GCAAGCGCAGCAACAGCAGCAGCAGCAGCAGCAACAGCAAACACCACAGCCCACCCCCTCGGAGCAATCTCTCCAGAGCACGCCTGTTCCAGTGGCTGCCGCTGCCGTCACTCCTGCACCAAAGGTGGAGACGACGGAGCCATCCATGGATGGAGCCACCGACGCCCCGATCGTGCGGCCCAAGGAGCCGCAAGAGCGAGAGGTAAACGATGTGCCACCGCGCGTCAGGTCTGGTCGGGGACGTCCGAAGGAGGGTGTGTATGTCTTCGAATCTACTGAACAGGAGGCTCCAGCACCTACCCGGCAGCCCGAGGTAGGCGGCTACGGGTCTCTACAGCCGACGAGTTACTGGTCGGTGCCTGAACAGCGCGATTTTCCTTTGCTGCTGGCGCACTTTGGTCGTGACTTTGAGGGTATATCCAACTTCATGAAGACGAAAACCACAGTCATGGTATGTTTTTCCCCTTCACGCCCACACCTTCCTGAATCATCCAGGCTATCAGCAACTAACTTTCAAGTAGGTCAAGAATTATTTTCAGCGCCGCATTGACTCGGGCCAGAAAGATTTCGAAGATATCGTTGCCGATGCAGAGGGCAAGAAAGCTCGTGGTGAGCCTACAGGTCCATTGCCCGTTCCTAACTTCGCCTCTAAGCGGCGTTATGAAGCTACACCATCTTCTATCATCATGCCTCGGCCTCTCGCCCCGCACACTGATACCGCGCCGGATACAGATGATAGCCGTTTGGGATCCAAGGGCAAACCCGCCAGTTCAACCCCCCAGCAGGCGCCTCTGCAAGCTCGCGCAGGCCAAGAGAAAGAGCGAAATGTCTCGAGATACCCACCGCTTGCGCAAGCCGCTAGTGCTCCAATGGCAAGCGGCCCCATGCTTAGTGAGGATCCTGCTCGGGTCATGAGCTCTCAGGCACCCTTGCCATCGCGAACGCAGGGACCCCGATTGGGGTATTTTGCCGAAGAACGACGAGAAGTCCCAGCAACGGTGCTGTCGCACACAGCTGCCACACGGCCCCAGGAAGCCCCCATGTCCGTGCGACAAACTCCGGTATCCGCATCCGAGATGGCGCGGCTGGAACCTCTCCATGGCCAAGGGTTCCGACCCGCCAGCGTGGACGTGCACCGGTCACCATTGCTTCCGGCACAATCGGCGTTGCCAGGCTCGCAGCAGGCATATCTCCAACCTCAGCATCAACCTTCCTTGATGCCTACAGGATCCCACTCTCGTCAGCACAGCCTCACGAAAACGCCCAGCTCCCCGGCGCAACCGCTGCAGCGGCCGGAGCCGGAAATATCGCCTGTTCGACGTGATTCTATGTCGCAGCGGCCTTATTTCGCAATGCCAGGGCACGTTGGCATTCCTCAGTCCACCCCAATCTTGTCACCACCCAAGGAGCTGTCTCGACCTGGACCGCCTCCTGCGGAGCCGCCTGAGGCCCCTCGCGTGCCGGCGAAGCGGTCGAACATCATGAGCATCTTGAATGACGAGCCGGAAGAACCCCAGCCGCGCAAACGGTTCGCTGGCGACCCGTCGTCTTCGACACCCGCAGGGCATACTGGGTCACCCTCTCGGCCTGTCTACGGTGGGATGCAGTCACTCCCGCAACAGCCACCCCCACGTCAAGAGGAGACTGTTATGTCATCTCAGCAGAGAGCCCCAGCCTACGGTCCTCCAAGCCAGTATTTGCCCCCATCACGCGCCTACGCAGACTACCAGTCCTACAGTTCTGTTCCAGGAGGCTCCGCAGCGCCTGCGAATAACGATTGGATGGCCCGGTTTGACCCTCGCGGGCAGCCACCCCCACAACCACCGCAGGCTCCGTCGCAATCGAGTAGCCGTCCTACGACCACGCTTGCCTCTCAGCCACCCTACTCCCCCTATACGTCCACCCAATCTTTATCTAATCCTTCCTTGCCGAACCTCACCGCTCCATCCCCTGTCCCAACTCCCGCATCAGTGACTGCGCAGCGCCCAGCGTATCATGGATCCGCATATGCTCCTTCACCGGTGTCTCACGCACAGGCTACTGCGTCGTCCCGCGAACTGGCAGCACAAAGCCAGATGTATCGCCAGAGCATCGGTTCACCCACCCAGCGTACCAGCAGCCTCGCTTATGGTACCCGTCAAGGTCCGCCGACGCCGATACAATCTCCTGCGAATCTGCTGGGGATGGGATCGCGACAGCCACCAGGCACGGTATCGTACGCCTCGCCCGCGCCAGCCACGCCTGGATCCAGCCATATGTCTGCGCAACAACATGCGGCGCACCAGTCATATCAGCAGCACGTGCAGACCATGGTCAGTGGGGCTCATCAGCAAGCCGCGCACCGCCAGACGCTTGGATTGGCTAGTGGGCCGTACGGTCACAACACTCCACCCCCGCAGGCATCGGTCTCCCGGGCAGCGGGCTTGCCTGGACCTGGGCCGCAGTCGATGTCGATGGGTCGCTCCTACACACCCCCAGCAATCTTGCAGCCAAGTCCTGGCGGAGGGCTGAGCTATGCGCCCAGTGGACCTGCGGCCGTTGGGTCGATGCACCCCCTTCAAGCACGACCCGGGGGACCTGGAACGCTTGTGGAGGCGGTGCCGGGAGGTCACCCTACTCCAGGCCACCACCGAGTGTACAGTCAGGGGTCTAATGCCGGGCCATTGCCTGGGCCAATGTCACAGCACCCACCTCGATAGACTTGGAGTGAGAGGTGTTGATAATTTCATCTTTTGATTACATTGTCGCTGCACAGTCACCGCCATCTCTGTCTATACCGTGGGAGTGTGGTTTGTATTATTCTTAGAGCCATCTTTTGTTCTCATTCTTCTTCGATCTTTCACTTTTAATCCTGGTTGGATTGTTCGGCCTGGGCCGCATCTTCTTATGAATAATGTACAGTAGACGATTCGATGGATGGCAATAGTGAAAAGCATGAGACAGCGGGTGAAACAGTTAATTGAAGATATCTTGTAGCTATTCTTGATTGTAATTTGTAGGTCATTGTTGAGATCCAAAGTGGATCCTTAGAGCTGAAACGGCCGCTGGCGCGTGGCTAGTGGGAGCTGACGCACGCCGTGTCGTGGCATGTAGCACCCCATAGTGAACGATCCAATAAGACGGCTGGAGCGCTGTAAGCGAGGAGATCTAGCGCTGGAACCCAATATGACGCGTGAGCTAAGCTGAAGACTTGCGTAGTATTCAGTCAGCCTTATCGTGTAGATATATTGAGTAGCAAAAGGGAGTACTCTGAGTATCAGTAGTATTAATATGTGGAGTATATCCGATTTCACCTCTAGTAGTGTACACACTATATTTCCACACTCTGATAATCCAGAATTCAGTCATCATGTTATCCTCATCATACTACTACCCCCATGAACAGAGGATATATTATATCCCTCAATACCACCATCAGAATATCTCCACATCTTACCTACAAATCCCATTAACGACTTACAATCCGAAACAATTCCCCATTACAACACATACAGTTCACTACTACAACCCACTACCGAATCAATATCAATACCCACATACACATACACATATAAACAAACTCATACATCACAGACCACATCATACCCATCAACAGCACCCCACAAACCAACAAAACTCATCTCCAACACACGAACAAACAACCCACGATCTAAAGAATAGACTACACCATCGACGATATCAACATGCGCTTCTCCGGGAGGGACTAAGGAGACGGTTACATATTCATGATCTGTTGTTTCTTTTGGGTCATAAATATAAACATCCTGGTACTTTTAGTAGTATGGGTGGCGGGGGTATAGGTAAGTTCTATTTTCTTCCTTCTGTGGGAGGGAGGGTCGATTCAGGTTTATGTTTGTGCTTATAGTTTGTTAGGTGGAAGAGGGTATGAGGAGAGAGTATATTTCTATCCTTCTCATGTCCATGATGATGGTATGGGACAGGGGCTGGGAGTGAAGAGACGGGGTGGTAGTGATAGCAGTAGTAGTGAGTGGGAGGATAGATATAAGGGTTCGTTTCTGGATAGAGAATATAAATGTAAACGGAGACGGTTATAGATATAATACTCAACCCTTCCATCAACTTGTCCACATCTAGACATTCCCCTCCACGACACATATAGGATCAAACCAGTCTGTTCAGGCATACCAATTCTGCATGAATATAGCCGTATCTGAGCTAGCAGGTTATGTATAGGAAGGAACAAACATGTTGAAAGTAAGAAAAGGGACGAAGAACGAGAGGATGGTGAACTCAGAGGTTATTGGCTGGCAGCTAGCCAGTCCGCTGCAACAATTCATTTACACCCCAGTTTTGCCATTTATATGACTACGCTTTGCTTCTGTTGTATTCAGCTGTAATCAACTACAGCAACGACCTTCCTATGTCATGGCATGCGTTGCTTCGTGGGTTACGCGGGTTTGAGGGTTTTGAGGGCGATTAACCTCAAACAAGCGACTCTCTAGATCCGCTTGCCCTTCCCGATTTGTGAGGTGAGGGTATAGCCAATGCTCACAAATGGGACAGCGTTGTCTTCAAGTCATTCACCTCTTTGCCTTCCCTAACTCACGTCTGTCTTCTTCCTTTCCCAATCTTCTTTCCGCGGCACCTCCCACTTCTCCCTCACTTTAGTGTTTGCCTCGAAACACGCGCACATCCTCCAGATCACAATACTCTCACTTCAGATGCACACTGATGAGATCGTCTACACTTTCAAGTGCATCTTCGACCTCAAAGGTGACTCGGACACTGCGAATCAGGGCACCCTTACCGAACCAAGCGAGTTTCCACTTTCATCGGCAAGTCTGCTCCATTGGGTAGCTGTTATTACCAAGGGTTTGTCATACCACAAGATTTGGGAAAAGGACGCTGGTTTGATCTGCCAGATGCTGCAGGGCCGCAGACAATTCGTTCTCAGGTACCAAAGTACATAGAGGTCAACAACACGGAGGAAATGCTCAATACTAGTAAAAAGATGATATCGTGTATTGAATAACTAGCCCCAGTAGTCTATCTTTTCTTCAACAAAGCATGCCCTCCATCTGCATTTTCACCACCCTCACCCCCTACTTCTCGCCCCCGTTTCTGCCCTCCCTCATGATCACCACCATCCCCATCCACCCTCTCATTCGTCTCATCCACCACTCTCCCGTCCTTGATTTCATACCCAAACACCTCCTTCCACGACCCATCCATCACCCTCTCATCATCCCCCATCAAATGCACCCCGTACGCCTCCTTCATCTGGGCAATACACGTCTGTCTCCTCTCATCAAAGTCGAACATCGGCTCCGGGTACGTTCTTAATCCAGTCTCTTCATCCTTCTCGACCATCCCATCCCCAGTTACCCGACACTCCCACCTCTTCTGGTCCTCTACCGGCGCCTTCCACGGCTCATAAATATACTTCTTATCATAATGTTCCAGCTCCGGAACATAGTGTCTCACGAACAGCCCTTCTGGATCCCACTTCTTCCCGAACGCCACCGGCGAATAGCATCTATAAAACTGCGTAAAGAATGCCGTGCAGGACAGCCACATCCAGTTTCCGACATTAGAGGCTGTTTCGTCTGTTGTTCTATTATTAGCGTCATCACTATCACGATCGGAATGGGAAAAGAGGATGGGAGTCATACGATCAACCAACCACTCCTCAAACACCTCCGCCCCCCTCTCCCAGTGCACATAACATCCCCCTCTGGTCAGGAAACATGCGACACTATGTCGTCCCAAATGATGAATCCACCCCTCATACTTCAGCTGTCTCATTAATGCATCGATCCACGGAAACCCCGTCCGCCCTTCCTTCCACCGTCGGAACCATACCTCCGCTTGCTCATCATCGATCATATACGTCCTGTCCACTAACCCCGTCTCCTCATCGTGGTTAGATTGTAAATGCCACGGAATGAACCGCGCGATCTTGTTTCCGCGTGCTTGCGCATACACGGGTCCCAGAGCTGCTTGCGCAGCGAAGAACATTTCTCGGAAGAGAAGCTGGCCCGGGAGATTAGTAGGGAGGTTTGAAGTTGGCTTGTGGGCTGATTCGCGCTCGTGGAGGGTATCCTGCACGTCGTGCCAGAATTTGCGCACGGAGAGGGAGCCGAAATGCAGATGCGGCGAGAGGAGGGTTGTCGCTTGTGGGTGAAAGGCCGCTGGGGATGTCTTGGGTTTTTCGAATGTCGCGACGAAGTCTTCGTTTTGTTGAAGGTAGGTGCGTAGCATCTCAAGGGCGATGGATTCGCCGCCGTGGTGGGGGGTTGTTGCTTGGCTGGGTTCGATGGAGAGTTCCTCTAGTGTAGGGATAGAGAAGTCGCCGTTGGGACCTGCTATGCTCCTGTATTGAGTATCGTTGTGCTTAGTTCGATGAGCAGCATTTAGATCATCCTGATCTGGAACCTCATGCTCAACTCCACAGATAGCCCTCATTTCCTCCTCCCTCAACGGATCAGGTACACTCTCCGGTGCATCAACAGGCCTATCCGGCACCCCATTATTTATCTGTTCAACAGCCTTCTCGACCTGATGAATACTCATCGTCGGCTCGCCTTTATTGTGATTCACCACTTCGTCCGAATCAAACAACGTCCGTCCAGACTTCACTATAACCTCTACCCCTGCCTCCTTCGCTAACTTCATAACTGTCTCATCGCGCTCCCGCGCGTACCCGTCTGTGTCACTTTCGAATACGAGGTGTGTCGCACCCCATGCTTTGAATAACTTGGGGAATACTGTTTGAGGAGCTTCACGAATTACCCGCAGCTTCTGCTTCGGATTCAGTTTGTGGTAGGACTGTGACAGGTCGTTCTGGCATTCCAGCAAGAAACGCCATCGGTTTGGACCTACACGAACCCGGTATGCGTAGTGCGGGTCCCAGGTGAAGATTGGGATGAATGTCGACGGGTTGAGGGAGAGCGCGGCTTGCAGGGCGGGGTTGTCGTGTAGGCGCAGGTCGGTGCGGTGCCAGAATATCACGGTGGGTGGAGAGGAATGTTGGGGCATGTTGGGCGGATGTAAAAGGGTAGGTAGTGATTGAGAGCCAATGGAATAATTGAGTCAATTGGGCGTGTTTTAAGGTGGATGTGTAGGCGATGTGCAGAATTGAGGGTTGTCGTTGGGAGCTGGGATGTGAGTATGATGTCACCGTATCTAGACTCTGACCCTGAAATCTAGATTTGCGGGATGCAACCATAATGCACTGGGAACCATGGAATGGTGGCTGATATTAACTACTCGGTAGCGATGCCGAATAAGCGGGTAGATTCATCCGAAATAGATATTCCCGGCTGCTGTCATGGTCTGAATGTTGGTAATAGTGCCATTCTGCGCATAAAAGGTGCCTGTGATTGCCCCATTCGAGGACACAGTACCTGCAGATGAAGAGTTGTGATCATCTTCGATTCGAGGAACCGCTGCATTGGAAAGGTTACCAGTTGGCGCGCAATAAACGGCAACAATTTAACTCACTAGGCTCAATAAACCGAAGAATTTCCTTAGCTACAGCAGCGGCAGCGGCAGCGGCATACTCATGCCATACATCGTTCTTGTGGGAATCGGCGTAATCGCATATGCCTCGGATAACCAGACACGGGAAATCGTTCATCATGGCTGCAGCTTCCATTTCGAAACAGATGGCTCCACCTTCATCGCTGGCGATCTGGTCTCTGATTGCCGCGTCTTTTATCACAGAATCACCGGAGAGGATGAGTCCGTAATGTATGACTGGCTTGGTTGGATCGGAGCGTGGTGGTCTCTGAGTAACCCTGTTTCGACTACATTGATCGCAGGTTGATTCACCTTCGACATGATCATATGTAGGCTCAAAAAGGGTATCTGTATCAAATGATGGGCGAACAAAAGCTTGATGCGCACAGCGTGTATGTAGCTCTTCGATGAACTGATCAACACTGTCACCTTCCATTCGATGTGCAACCTTCATTCTAGAGATAGCGTGTAGCCATTCGAGAGGAGGAGGTAGCAGATGCTGCTCGGCTCGCACAAACCTATCCTGATATGCTGTGCCCAAGTCGTATTGGACCACTCCAGGATTTGTTCCTGTAGGGGTGCTGACAACTACATCTCCTAGCCGGACATCGACACCCTGAGTGGGTATACCACCGCCAATGCCGACAAGCAGGAGATATGAGATGTTAGGAAAGTCTTGCTTCAGCTGACTGACAGCGGTCGCTGTGGAGAGCTTGCCCCGAAATGTGTACGGCAGTGTGGCGATTACCACATTGTGCCCGCTGAGGTTACCCAGCACATATCGGGTCGTTCGTGATTGTGTTTGCTTGTGCACCTCATCTAGCATATAATGGATGGCACAGATTTCGACCTCAAGTGGGCAGAAAATACCGACTGTGTAGTCTCGTGACAGAGCCATTGGGCTGATAATGCTTGACGGCAGGCAACAACGGACAGGGGGCTTTTTTTTTCGCAGCAGTCACAAAAATGCTCCTTGTTTTCTTTAAATGAGCAGTCAAGGCTCGCAGAACCGGTATCCGGGATCAGCGTCCAGGCGCTAGAAATCGGGCGGTTATTGGCCAGACTAAATGCCCTTGCTGAGGGGTAGATGTCTAGCCTGGCGCTTACAAAACTGCCTCATTATCTCCGCCCGGACATTAGGTGTGCTCACTATTTCCCTTAAGCATCTCGTACCGTTCGGGACTATGGGAGGGGAAGCAATTATCGGACCGGCCCTTTCAGGCCAGTTCTATGCTGGAACCGGAAAGCAGTACAACTTCGGCAGCGTATCGGGAGAGAAGGTCTATATGGGTACCGGTGAGCACAACATATGGAGTTCACCTACCAGAACAGCGGGCTGAGGCCAGACAGGAGATGTCCAAATATTCTCGACTTTGCAATTCGCCAAAAGTGCTTGCTTCAACTCCCGGGAAAGGGAGCACGACTCATTCTGCCTTGAAGGCACCCGCGTGGATCTGTTAAAGGACATAGCGGAGTGGATTGATGCGGACCATAATGAGGGTATTTTCTGGTTGAGTGGAATGGTAGGCACTGGAAAGACAACGATTGCTCGCACGGTGGCACGAAATTATGATCAGCAGTCGCGGCTGGCTGCGAGCTTTTTCTTTACTGATGCAAATGAAGATGCCAATAGTGCAGACTCCTTCGCATCAACAGTTGCTTGTCAGCTGGCCAACTTCGATATAAGCATGAAAAATGCTATTCAGGATGTGTTGGAACGATGTCCCCTTTTGCCCTATCAAGGGTTGTCGGAACAGTGGACACGGCTTGTGAAGGAGCCACTGATGGCATTCATCCAGAAGCACGATAAGTATCCGATACTTATTGTGGTTGATGGCTTGGATTTGTGCCCGGATAAGAATGATCAACGCTTGATTCTTCGTCTGCTATCTGACATTACTCGGGTGTGCGAAAACAAAGTGCTTGTCTTTCTGGCGAGTAGACCAGAATCCGCCATTCGGTCACAACTTTCCGAAATTCAGCATAGAAAGTTGAAAATACAGGATATTGGAGAAAGGGTCGTTAACTCGGATATAAGAATCTTCTTGGACCACGAAATTGGCAAGCTCGTGGCCCCGTTCGAAGCAGAGCTTGCATGGGACGGAGGAATAGTGGCGACTCTCGTCTATCTTGCCCAGGGTCTCTTCCTCTGGGCGGCCACTGCTTGTCAATACGTCCGAGGTGCTAAAAACCACCAGATTATCAGGCAGAGACTGAGAGACATAGAGCTAAAAAGCCGGGAAAAAGGAAGTCCAACTGAGAAATTGTATCAAATCTATACCAGCGTCTTAGATGGCTCAGTCAACGAAGCATGGACTGAGAAAGAGAAAGCAACCTACTGGAACTCCATTTCGCGTGTATTATGGACTCATGAACACATCCTTGGCCGTCTGCCAAGAAGTGCCTCCGGCAAACTGATACGGGTGGACACTGACTCCATGCTAGAGGACTTGCATTCTATTGTGACGGTTCCAGAGGATGGTGACACACCTATAAAATTCCTCCATACTTCCTTTGCCGAGTATTTGGGTGAGGGTGAACTGAGGCATCCAGAACTTCAATTAACACTAAGACAGAGTCATTGTATGCTGGCGGATGCTTGCCTTGACCTCCTGAATGAAGCATGTGGGCAAGATGGTAGCAACCTACGGAATCTTGTTCAGCACAGAGGAGAGCCGAAAACGCAGAGTTTCCCCCAAGAGCTGGAGTATGCGTGCACCCAATGGGTAGAACATCTCTATTTTGGGCGGGAACTTATGTCTCGAAAAACTAAAGCATTTGTGTTTCTCGAAACACACGGGAAGAGTTGGATCCAACTACTTGCCTTGAGCAACAGGTTAGAAACAGTGAATACAATGAGAATTTTGTTTCATCAAAAAGTTGTGAGTGATAAATTAAGCGGATATCTTAGCCATTGAAATCTATAGCTAACCTTGAATAGGAGGATAATCCAGAAGAGGACAAGCGATTCATTCATGAGTTACTCTCTACTGAATCTATATCCGAGATAACTGCGCAGTGTCAACGACAAGGATAGATGGCAGCACCATACATGTATTGCTTTCAGCACAGTTCTCGTTCTGTTTCCGTTCCATTGTATGTGAATAATTGATATTCTCAGCCAGAATACAAAGATCACTATACACGCAGAAAGACTATCTAGTTCTCTTCAACCCAATCCATAGACGTGCCAATAATAGATACCCGTAGCTTTCCATCCTTCATCGTAGCAATGGCATCTACACCTGGCCTCAAAGTATTCATGATCCCCTCAGTCCGATGAGCAATCATGATAACCGTATGATACTCAAGTTCTTTACGCAGAATATCTCCCAAAATGGCCTCCGTCTCACGATCCAGAGACGAACTAGCTTCATCGAGAATAATAATCGGTTTCGTCGGCGCAGTCGCCTTCACACGGAGCAGCATCCGACAAAGCGCGAAGAGTTGCATCTGACCGGCGGACAAGGGGAGTATTGCTGAGATGGGAAGATTCAGTATAGTGTCAACATCTGTAGAGGCGGCAGCAATCTTATCCCAAAGGCGAGTTCTCCTCAGTGCTTGTACAACCTCATCACTTGTGCATTTATTATACGGGTCCAGATTGACGCGGATAGCTGCTGTGGGGATGTTGAAGCCATCTTGTGGTACGGCGATGATGCCGCGTTGTCGAAGGATCTGCAAAGGCACGTGTGCGATGTTGATGTCGTCAATGGAAATGAATCCGTGTTTGGTCTCGAGAAGCTGGAGTAAGGAGAGCATAAGTGTGCTCTTACCGCTATAGCCAACAAGTGAGCTCGTGCATGAAACGCTTGGAATGACTGATCATACCTTCCCGTCCGACCCATGACAATGAGTTTCTGTCCCGAATTGACTCGAAATGATACATTGCGCAGAGAGGGCTCTGATTCCTGCGAGTATGACACAGTGATATTGTCGGTGCGTAGTTCTCCTGCTGATGGCCACTGTGCACCTGACTCTAGAGCACCTTTAGCGCCATCTTCGCTTGGTACACATTCCTGCACATCCTTGAGTCGGGCAACGCCGCCAAGGGAGGTCTCCAAAGAAGTCCAGTTCTGGACTAATCGCAATAGCGTAGTGTTGGCCCCGATCATCATATTTAATGCCATTCCGACATCAGCCCCCGTGGAGTTCCGGTACATGACCGTGAGAGTTATCAGGCCTATGGCAATAATGGCCTTTAAACAGTCCAGCACAATTTTAAGCCAGCACTGCAAGCAGAGAAGCAGGTAGTATGGCTTTTGTGACATGTCCAGTGCCTGGATATTTTCGGTGGCGAATTTTTCCTGCCAACCGAAAGCACGGATCGTGGTTACACCACTGGTCTGGGATATATTAGACATGACTTATCATGGAGATGTATGAGGAATGACAAGAGCAGATTGAGCATACTGTATCTAGGAAATTGGTGTTCAGTCGAGACCTTGCCTCTAGGTCCAGAAAGCGCAACTGACGAGAGTTGCGAAGATAGACTTTCTGGATGAGGTAGACCAGTATGTAACATGGTGGTATCGTGGCAAGCATCACCGGCTGTACATACACAATCAAGGCTACCTGCATTAGTAGCTTGAAGATTTCTGGAACAGACCTGGTTAGGACAATGTGAGTGAGAGGGTGGACTGGAAGCTTACGGGTGCTTAGATTGGCGAGAGCGGAGGGTAGTTGCTTATCCACTAACGCTATGTCTTGGGAGAACCTGTTTAAAGTGATGCCGATCTGTGCTTTTGCAAAGTAGGACAATGGCGCTCTGGATTAAGGTACCCTGCATCAGCAAAAAGTAGTGTGATGAAAGGGAGGTGAAGGCTGACCCGAGTAACCGCTCAAGCAGCTGAGAATGTAACACTCTTCCCGAGCGAATCGCAACCTTCATCTGCGAGAACCTTCAATGTTTTAGATGCTAGTGAAGCTAAGTCAGTAAACAGGGTAACCAACCACATCGTTCCACTGGTTGCTGCCCACGCAATGAATGAAATCCCTGCATAGAGCACCATATATCCATTAAGCTCCCCAGAAGAAGTCTCTGTTGCCCATCTCAGGACATACTGTGAGAAGGTCAAGCAAAATGAATATGTGGCGGTGCAGACTGTCATCAGAAAGGCATTTCGGTAACCAACAGCATTGAAGTAGTAGTCTGCTCAAGATTCAGCACGCGTTGGATGTGTTGATAAAGAGGATATACCATAGACAGCAAAGTCTCCCGTTTTCCGTGATAAGTCATTGGCAGCCTCAGTCATTCGATTGTTTTGACCAGGCGCCTTTCTGTCGTACAGCTCCGAGGGCTGGGTAGTCTGGTCGCTTGCAGTGAAGGGAACAAGGCTACCCGGAGTTTTTCCCTGCTGAACGGTGCGAGGATCCTGGAGGCGTGCCTCCGAGCCTTGCAGAACCAGTAGACTATTTGCCATGGGGAAGAGCTTCGCTATGACGCATTAGAAAAATCTGACTGGCTTCAGAAAAAAGTAAACTACTGGTGTTGCTAATGAGCAGAACACCTGCGTTGATTTTCTTGAACAGCCCCCTGGGGCCCAGTAGCCTATCAGAGATCTGCTCCGCGACATTCTCGTCAAGGGCGCTGAGCGGGTCATCAAGGATCACCACATCATAACGTGAGTATACCGCGCGTGCAAGAGCCTGCGTCAATTAGCGAGTTCACAGGAACAACCCACAATAATAACGAACATACTACGCGCTGACGCTGACCGCCGGATAGGTTCATCCCGTTATTCTCGATAAACGTCGAGTCACCGTTGTGAAGGCTTTCCAAGTCAGGGCTCAAGCAGCATGCATCCAGGACCAGCCTGTACCACTCTTGGTCAAAATCAGAGTCAACAATTATCGCATCCCGAATAGTAACGCTAGGTAGCCAAGGAGCCTGGGCACAGTATGCAATCTTTCTTGATGTAAGACTAATTGACCCGGTTGAGGGTAATTCTCCAAGCAGGGCCATGGCTAATGTGGTCTTTCCACTTCCAACCGTACCAGTACAGACGATTAGCTCCCCTCTAGAAAGCCTGAAGGAGACATCTCGAAGTATTGTTGGATCTATTTTTGATGAGTGTCTAACGGAGACGTAATCGAGCGATACCAGATGTAGGCCCGTCTCGGCATCAATATGTCGGGGATCCAATATTGATGGCTGACTAAGATATGCTTCGATGCGTGCAAAGTTTGCCATTATACCAACAGCACGTGGGACTAATGTCATGACCATGTTGGCCGGATGCGTGACCATGGAAAGAAGAGCGATAGACGTGAATACGTCGTTGGCGTGCAGTTCTCCAGTTCCAGATGACAGGACATAGAAGACCAGAGTCAGTACCGGGGCGAATATACCAAGTGAATTTGCTTTGTTACGTTAGCTGGCAGCTGTTGATATGGATTTAACACATACCGCTGGCATTATAGGCGACGAGTATCCACCTTAAACGTTCCGACAGGCGTAACTCCTTCTCACGTAATTGCGAGATACGACACTGCGTTGCATCCACCATACCCATCATCTTGAGGCTTTTGATGCCTCCAAGTACACTTGTAGTCGTGGAAATGCGCTCTTGCGTCGCGGTATTCCATTCCTTCTGTCGGGGCTTAAGGTGCTTAGCAACGTATGCACTCATCCGCGAACACGCTGTAGTGCATTAGTACAATAAGCATGAATATTCAGGATCAACGAGTAGTATGCCGAATATGATAGCCAGTGGAAGAAAAGCAAACCATTGAAGCCGGGCAGCCAGTAGCATTGTGCCGATGACCACCTCCAAGATATAGGCCCATGTGTCATGAAGAATTGCCCCAACTGACTCAACACTGTCAACATCGGAATTGATTAGGGTCACAGCCTCTGATTCGGCCTCTTTGCGGGGGAGTCTCATCGCTTGATCGTGTACCAAGCTAATTAAGGCGCCCCTAACCATGATTCGCAGTCGATCGATGTAACGTTGATATATTGCCGCAGAGACCGCCATTCCTATGTACGTAATTGCGGCTGATGAGATAAGCCAGATGCCACGAGCTGTGTCAGTAGCCGTATCATTCACGAAGCGGATAAGGGCGTCCATCGCTAAGGGTTGAGCGTAACGAAACACGATGACGAAGAGACGAGGAGTCACGGGCAACAAGAAAGCAGATTCAAGGCAACGTGCCAAATTAAGAGGAAGAGCCCATCCGGAGGACTCAGCTGATAGATATTAGCGCGATAGTGAAATGTAGATGAGGGTCTCACTTCTTGAAATCCACGCTTCAATTGCTCTCGTACGGAGAGTTCTTGATGATAGCATGTAATGAATTGCAGGTAATTGTGCGGAAGAAAGCGTCGAGATATAGCTTTCCCTCAGCATAGTACTCATGCAAGAGAGGGAAGCAAGCCTAAAGGGCCCAGCCGCATCCTCTGAGGTTGACACCTGCGACTTTAGATATCCTTCCCATCCCCAGGAACGGATATAGGTGAGAAGCCATAATGCTTTCAAACATGATCTTAACACAATTGCGTCACAGTCAAAGACTGTTTCACATACCACGCCCCTCGTCTTATGCATATCTTGTGCTAATGCAACAGCAAGGTACGCAGGTACGAGGTGCGGCGATTGAACTCCTCGGCCATGTTCAAGGATGGATATAGCAAGAATACCTGCTACTACAACAACCGAGAGGCAATTGTCCAAAGCGGCTAGACCATTGTGGAGGTGCGCGTCTGGCCCAGGCCCAGTCACAGATATCGAATGAATTATGCAGAGTGCGACTGCGATTACCTGCGATATAGACCCTCGGGAAGCAGAATCTGGCTTCTTTGGTAGCTTGTAAATGCCACAGACTCTCCGGGCTATCCCAAGGAGGAAAGCCAACGATAGTACAATTGACCCCCATTCGCTGTTGGTGCCCTGAGAGAAAGTCATGATCATTGCGCTTCAATCACCACCAGGAACTCGAATATTGTGGAGACTCCGCTCAGTGCCACGAATAAAGAAATTTTGGAACCCGTAGGGAGCTGGAAGTGGCGGTATGCTGATAAGGAGACTGATGCACGTGCAGCCACAAGGGGACCGAGCTCCACATGAGGTGTCGCTTGTCGTGGTGCATTGATAGTTCAGCCTTATGTCTCAGATAGTATTACACGTTAATCATGCAGCCAATGACCAGTTGGGTTGCGGTGGCACGTCATAATTGGGCGTTGTGCCGCCATTTTTGCCCCTGCAATGAAAAGGCACTTCTCAATCCATGATGAAATGTTGAGATATTTAAAGGAAGTACACGTTGGTGATGAGATTTTGACTCCTAGGTACATAGCCTCCTTTGATCAATAGATAGGCCCGTCCTGCAATTCGGTATCCTGGATGAAGGCATCCCACGTAGTCTGTTCCGGTCAGTATAGGCCAAGTTAAGTAGCATGAATTACGAACCCAATCAATATCTACATCCAGGGTCTCCTTCTCAAGCGATTGTTCGACGCCATCAAAGGCTGTGAATAGAGAATTAAAGCCTTGGAGATTCAAGGCATGGGCTGAAGTAGTTGCAGACTCGGGCCGGAAGCTTTCGACCATCCGCACAATAATATCGTACACTCTCCCAGCTTCTTCGTAGGAGTCCTTCGCGCGTCTCCAGAGATCGCAAGACCTTTCTAATATCTGCAATATATCGATGCTCCTGGATGCATCTGGGTTGTTAAACCGCCGCGCGAGCTCCAACTCCAGAAAGAGAATCATAGCAGCTAGAGTCAACACTTGTCTCGTTAATGAAGACTTGTACCACGACGGCTCTAGTGCCACTTGGTAATCTAGTAGAGTCATCGCGGAGGATAAGCATCGATCATGAGATAGCTTGAATCGGGTATCGAGTCGCCCTTTAGCCATGAACTTCCTGTGAAGAGTACACATAGCTCTGTGATACATTGAGCAGAGACTGAATCTGGAAACTTCTGCTGCGTTTCCTAATGGGATGATATTGCCCTCCATGTGGACTTTTAGGTGTGAAGGAAACTGCTCATATGCATCATACAGCGCCTGGTCAATTTCGCGAACAGTGTCGTAGGTGACAAGCGTTGGAGTGTTGTTGAAATCTGCAATGCGTCCGATCGCACGGAAGAGGCGGGTCTTTACTATTATATAGGTCGTTGCGGTAGGCTCTTCCAGAGGCCTCGATGGCGGGAGGGACGTCGTTCCTTCCGATAACTCCCAGTCGTGGATGTTTCGTGGCTCCATTGTATCCGAGAATAGTGTCGAGCCCGTTCGAGGAAAGCCGCCAAGGAATGAGGCCATATCGTCCATGATAATGACCGACATCCAGACCCGACGTCGATATTCTGCCTGAAACGGCGAGATAGACGGGGAGTGAGAAGGGTCACGATGGTAGCCCATGTTTATTGCAGCTCGTACAATGACTCCTGTCATAATCCATAGTCCGCGACGGTTGTCGTCTTTTCTGTTAAGCTCAGCTGTTGCGTTGAACCTCAAGGTCTCGATAGTGTAAGGAAGGCATTTAGCAATGTCGCCATTAAGCAAGCACTGCGCTGTACGGATGCGATAGAGCTGAAAGAGTGACTCCGAGATGCCTTCGTACTCTGGCGGTTCTCCGAATTGATGAAAGGAGAGCATTGTGAGGCCAAGGATTGAGAAGAGGAGGCCCAGCCATATGAAGTTTGTGCGGGACGGGTCTTTCCAATGCTCGTTGTACTGATGTGTGGTTAGTAGGTAGGTGATTATTATGGCAGTATAGAGTTGATACCTCGCGCATGAAGGTTGGTATGTGTAGGATGGCTTTACAATGATAAGTCAGCTTTTTGACATTCATTGGACGAGATCACTCACGGGGCACAGATATTTGGAATTTCTCTGTGTCAAAGAATAGAGCTATGAGCTTATCGACCTGATGCTTTGGTGGTAATGTAGATACAATTTCTATTCGCTCCAGTGGCTTGACTTGACCAAAAAGCAAGCTTGAGCCGTCGGCAATATGCGAGGGAGCAGACTGGACGACCTCATTAGCGATTTCATCCTGAGTTTCGGTCCATGTTTGCTTGAGTGTGTTTATCTGTGAACTATTAGCTGGCGGGGCTTTACTCTGGAAAGGCACTGGACACAACGTCAAAGGAGCGGCTGCTGTTCGCTAACATTATGAAAGGGAGATGTGATGTAGCCAATATCAAACAGTGAATGGACCAGCATGGGGGAAGCAAGATAGTCTACAGCAAAGATGGACAGGCAGATCAGAATACTCACCTCTTCCAAAACGTCATACCACTCATCACCCCCTCGGTACACCGAGCGAGTGCCATCAATCATCGTCGTCCCAGCGCATGCGACTTCTGAAGCATGCGACTGCGCACCTTGCAAAGCCTTATTATCGTCAGGTATAAAGCTCTCCGGTGTATGAGGCGTATTCTCAGACAATCCATTCTTCCGCTCAACAATCAGCCTCTTGACCAGATCCTCCAAGTGATCGATCCTATTCTTCATCTCATCCCCACCATCCCGACGCGTAGGGGTAGTGCCATTGTTAGCGCCTCTGAATCTGCAGGACGGCTGCTCATTGCGCGTGATACAGTTTTGACAAGGCTTCTCGCGATTGCATTTCAACCTGGATCCGTCAGCCGTTATCCTGCACATAGTATATGTGGTGGATCTACACACTTCCTAGCGCGGCAGGGATCACATGACAATGGGATCCGGTGGCGCCGTTTTGGTTGCTGCGATGGTCTGGAGGCCCAAGTGGGTTTTGTGACACCATTGGATTCCATAGTGATTGAGGTATAAGAAGCTGGAATGGCATGGAAATGGTTAAGTCCATGGCGATGGAAGCAGGATCCCCCGTTTGGGATAAGCTCTATGCACGTGACTTATCTCCGCGGACTTAAGGGATCCGACTTATCAACGAGACGCGGTGGTCCTTGATGACTTTGCTTTCCAGTACAATGGTGATAGTAAGATATGCATGGGAATCTCGTCTACAATTGCTAAGCGAAGTAATTCCACCACTTCGTGACTTTCTTACTTGTGCCCGAGCTTTGGTCAAATTACAAGTATATTTGATGTCCCTGCTAAAGTTCCAGTAAATGGGTGCTATCTAAATTATTGCCCGGCGCTCATAATCCATTAATTCATCAAGCAAAGCCTCGCGTCTTCGACGAACTGTCGGTGTCAATAATCGCCCTTTAAGCCTCAATCAATCCAAGAAGGTTCGCGCGTGCTGTCCTGGTCTTCAAAACTGCCATCTCAGCCGTGGGATAAGCCTGCATCAAGTGTAACGCAGCCTCCTCACAAGCATACAGATTTGTCATAGCCTGCCTTCGGACCATGATATCCGAGCCCTGAAGATCCAACAGACTAGCCTCAACAGCGAACATCAGTATAGTGACTGATGCTCCGGGAAGGAACGGAAGTAGTCCAAGATCCTGCAGCTCCGCGAGTACCTTTTTGATTTGCGACGTGGATCCCCTTAGACCTTCCATGTTAGGACGCGCAGTGCTGGTTTGCTGGCTATGCGTTCCTGTGCGGTATATCACAGCCATTGCGGCCAAATATAGCAGGTAGAGAAAAGCTTTGTGTACTAGAAATACTGTTTCGGTCGGATTTCCATCAAAATCGGCGGGAATGTGTGGTGGATGGTAAACTGCGTTGAGTGGAAGGAATTGGATCCAGGAATAGAGGAGCTTCTCACAACTGGGTCTGATGGATGGCGAAATACTGCATTTAGGGGCGAGTGAATAGAAGCTGCTGCGACGTGCTGGGATTGGAACCCATGCCCCTTCGTATAGGTAGTCTAAGATTGCTCCAACACAGTAGGAGAGTTTGACTAGTTCCTTGAAGAGCATGGCAGATTGTTCTTGGCTAGTGTGGGTAAGCATAGGAGAAGCGCTACCTAGGCTCTCATGAATGATTTCATCGTATTCATGAGTTGCATCGCTCATAAGATGAAGGATCGAATCTGGATATATGTTGACTGGCATCCGTGGGGGCCGACGAGATCCAAGCGAGATTGTTCGATCACGGACGTAAAGGCAGCACCACATAGTGGATCTGAAAGAACGGCTATCGCATGTCCAATCTTCATCATGGAGCAGGCCTATTCGTTCCGCAGTGGAGAAGGCGATATCAAGCCAGTAGGACGGCCCTTTGTGGCGTGACATATCTCCATGCCAGAGAGTCATCAGCAAGAGAGCTTGGATTTGGGTATAGGCACATGGTTCGGATTCAAACTCGTAAAGAACCTGCTAGTCGCTTAGTACATATGTAATGTGATGTGTTGTAATCAGTACAGACCTTTGTACGTTCAAATAAAGCTCCCGTTAGCTGTTCCATTTCGTCATTGTCTCGCCGAGCGAAAATACTGCCGGCAAACATGACAGCTTGGTATAGTAGTGGTGAATTGAATTGAGCATCATCCCCAACTATGACTTTTGAGAGAAAATCCCCGAGATCAAGAATTGGTAAGAGCGGATGAACATATTTGACATACGCCGCCAATAGCTCGTTGCGCAAGGCTGGTGGCAAGAGCTGCAGAGCTCCTTTGCTAAGCAAATACTCACTGTCCTCAGGGGAGACCGCTGGGAGTCGACTTCGAAATTTCCGGTCCGGTCTTGTAACATTTCCCTTGCTCGGAGCCAAATAGGATACTGGCTGCTCGAGAAGTCCCTCAATATCTGAGAGAAGGTTGTCAAGAGGATAGGTAGACAGGACATCAGGCTTGATGGCGATGTGTGGTTGGCCTGATATAGCTTTGGTCCCTGAAACCAATAACTGGGAGAGAGATTCTATAAAGACTGGTGAGTAAGTGCGGCAGACAGTACAACTTGTTACATACCACCGTCGAAGAGACCATTGCTCTCCAAATCATCCACACTGCAGGGACTCTCTGTGTGGGGAATGGAAATACCAGCATGGGTCCCACTAGAGTCCGAGCATGGCGAAGACGAGGCATTAGTGTCAGGAGAGGACGCCGTGTTCGGACTAGTTGAAGACCTTCTGAGTGCCCTATAACATACAATTGTCAGAAGCCTTACTCTAGCGCCAACATTATTCCATTGTATACAAAGAGCAGCTAATGACTCTTGGCTACCAATACGCACGGAAAGCTAGACAGAAAATACCTTCGTGATTTCGTGTAGACACACTTCAGGTTTCTCAAGTTGCATCTGCGACACACAGTCGCTCCTCGTGTTAACTCGCATCGCACCTTTGAGCTCCGACATGCAAGGCAAGCGAGTAGAGGCCGCTGTGTTACACGACTACAGACCTGAGATCGAGGGCAACTCTCCATGTCGGATAATATTTCCTGAATCGCTCCACTGAAACTTGACCAAGAATTTGCGGTCGAGACAGGCCAGTCGACGGGTGCAAGAAGTAAATATGGAATAACAATCGCATCCCTTTCATGACCAAGTTCCTGACCTGGCCCAAGATTGAGCCACCGGACATGTGCAGGAAGCTCATCTTTTCCGGCGGCAATTGGGTCTTCTCCACCAGGATCCACATTCTCACCAGCTCAACGCCGCGGAACATCAAGGGTCACAAATGATTTGTCAATCCAGTGGTGTGCCGGACGATCGGCCTGCCAAGTGCGTAGCCTATCTAGTCTAGACTGAGCTTCTCGACTTTCCCCCGCTCCAGCTTTTTGTGAATTTCGAAGATCATCATCGTTAAACCAAGGCGCGGTGCTGTACACACAAAACAGTGGCAATGTATGTATTTGGGATCCATTGAGCCTAAAGAAACCATCCTTTTAGCACATTGGTCGAGCGAGATTGTCTCATGCGTCTTCTAAGTAGTCGAATGGCTGTTGTGAAATAGAAACTTGACGATGCGGAGTCCGAGCATTCCGGGCTCAGGAGTTTTGGTGGTCACCACCGTTATCTCCACCGGAAAGATAGACACCGGAACTATCACACCAACCCATGGATCCCGTGACCCCTATTATCCGGCGGCTTGCCACATACCAATGAACTCCGCGGACATTGTTGCTACTGTGGCCATAAGCATTCTGTGTGGCTACATGTGAGCATACTAAATAGCATTTCAACTATCGCGATGCTTGCCCTTCGACCTTCCTCTCTAGACTTTAGCTTGGCCCTAGGATATATCAACGAGCTACAAGGGTGTACTGATCACGTTGACTCCCTTCCGCTCCTTTGACTAGGGAAATGTTCGGCCCCAGTTCCACGTACTGTTTTGATCATCAGGGACCAAGTTAAACATGGCTATGCACGAGGTCAGTCAAGATCCGAATTGTGTCTTGGGAGATCAAGGGCCATTACATTCTCCAAATGCACCAAATGTATCGTCCAGCTGTTGAAAGGCCTGGGCAGGGAGAAAATCATATGGTCCCATTACGGCAGGGGGGGCATTGTAGTCTGTGTCCCAGGAACCTTGGACAGGGTCTACAGCGGCCTGCGCTGCGGGTCCGTGAATTGTCCTGGAGCGCCCTGCACTCAAGGAGTCATTCGAGGGGCCGTCAACCCCAGAACCAGTTAATCGCGTATCCGAAGGGCAATTTGTTTCGATATTATCAGCCAAGGCATGTGTTATCTCGCGCTGAGTGGTAACTTTCAGCAGCTCCGTCAGAAGCTGTTCAGTTTGCCTTGCTATTCGATCGTGGCTCTTGAGACTTCGACTAGCGCGAATTATTCTTACCACCCCATCCTTTGCCTCGTGAGCGGTGGCCGTTAAAGGTTTCACAGTTGGAGGTATGCAGAGTATCACACCAGCAGTAAATTTTGTCATGGATACAACTGCTATAGCGAAGTGATTCTTTAATGTGTGAACTGGCACGCGGGATATGCGAAGGGCAGCAGCTGTGGCTCGGTCTAGCGCCCTATGCATCGCATCCATGATCCCCCGCGAAGATGTTAGCCTGTTGATTCTTCGCTCCAACAGCGGTCTATTTGCTTGTATGACCATGCCATCGTACGTCAATTGAAGAACAGCAGCCTGTAGATAGATTGTCTCCACCTGCTGCCTTTCTTGAGGCGGAAGTGTTTGCAGCTGCCCTTCAACGGTCTCCCAGCGACCATCTGCTTTCCAATAGTCAAAGTCATATAATTTCGGGACGGCTTTCCACCAGTCAGTGAGAAGAGCGTTCGACTCCTCGGTAATACGAATGATAGCTTCCAAGTTCTGTTCCTCTATTCCAGATGTCAGGTCAAGCCGACGGAAGCGGATAAGAATTTCGCGAGCGATCGCGTACACATCTGTCTTTAAGACGTGAAATGGGGCGCGCGACGTTATTCCGTCGCTATTCTCCACTGATAGATTACTTAGGAGGGAGTGGTCAAAGACCAGGTCGTCGACGAGCTGTAGATGACGAACGTTGGCCGAAGGCAGAGAAGCAGGGCGCCCATAGAGAATCGAGCAAAATGTATCCGAAATGATGATCTGGTTCCAGCAACGAGAGCGTGTCTCATTAGCGATAGAAGGCAGCGACGATGTGCTTGTTTCTTGAAGATTGAGAGCATATGCAGCTCTGAAAGCCATGCCACACGTGGTCCAGGCCATATTTGGAGAGCTGTGGAACATGTAATAGCAACAGAGTAGAAGACAGAGTTGCACCCCTTCTATACGGCGGTCCTCCAAGATGTCAAGCACACGGGAACGAATCTCTGTCAGCAATTTGCTCAGCAAATCCTGGGCATCAATTGAGTGCCTGGATAGAAGAATATGACCAGGCCAATCTGCGTCAGGGAGGACTGATTGTAAGCTGATGACAGCGACAGCAAGCACCGTCATGACCGCACCAAGATCCCGGCGTTGCCATTGATGCTGAGATATGATTGGCTGGGCCATTTCTCTAAATGACGGCTCGTGGAGTACCAAAATAAACCACTGCATTCGATCAAAGTAGGCGTTGATCAATGCAAGCATCACAGTCGTTGGGGGCATGGGTGTCTCTTTCAGACCCCATAGTGAGTTCTCAGCACCCACCATGCCAACATCACCCGGCACAGCAGCTTCAGTCAAGGTCCGGCCTGTCTCCTCCTCGTTATAAACCTGCCTGGCGAAACCAATCGCCGAAGTACCAGTTGCATATTGTTGAAGGTCCTCGGACGCTCTTCTCGGTAAGACCTGCGGTGTATCAGATCCGGCGGAAGCCGCTGGGGTGGCCGGTGCCTGATATTCAGAAACACGACGACGTGATGTAGTGGTTGTCTCGCATTTGTGACCAGCACGAGTGCATAGTACACACGGACGAACTGAGTCACACTAGAAAAGATAAGAATCGCTCACAGCTGCTTATGTCCAAATGTGGGAGCCTACCTTGAGCTTCTGTCGACGACAACGGTCGCAAGCCTTGGATATTCGCGACCGAGTCGACCGCCTGGAAGCTTTCTGCATGTAGCAATTAGAGCGATGGCTAAAGGATACGTCAGAAGCGAGGAGATCAATATCTGAGATTCCTGGGCTGTATTGATTAGAATCCGGGGTAGTGGAGAGAAAGTGATTGTGTTTGCCGGTGGAAAACAACCAGAATGTGCGGGGAAGAACGAAGCCGCCAAGGAACCTGCGGCTGGGCCGCCACGTGCGGGGAGTCAGGCTGTAAGGCCATAAGGCTACAAGGCATCCACTCGGGAAAGGGTTGCGACCGTCAAACAAATCATCAACATTCAATATTGTTAACAAACAATTGACCTTCTTTTGCAAAGGCTTATCTGTCTGGATTGGATCCACCTCACCATCTATATGCTGTGGGTGCTTCGCCCCTTCAACAAAACAACGGCGTGTGAGCAATGTTGCTATTTCAGTCATTCGCGACATTGTACAAACTGGTCTAGCAGTGAAAGACTGCTCAGCCTGCCCATCACTTGTTGATCAGCCAGCTACCCAACCCAGCGACAACGAAAAGAAGAGATTTCTCATTCTCCAGGACGCCGTCGACCGGCTAGTGATCTAAGCGATATGTGTGGTGGATATCGTTTTGGCCCCAGCAGCGATGATCACTGGAGCCACTAGAACGTGGCTGTCCTGCCGCGCCTCCTCGGTTTCGGTTTCGCTGCTTAATTGACATAGGGCTATGTCACATGAGATATCCTAGTAGGAATATTGTAGTTATAAAGGATGGTAGGGCCCTATGCTTGAGGATTACGAACCATCTCTATTGCAACAGTTTTTCAACTATACACTTCATTGTTCTATCCGCTATTTACTCCGACGCTACATCATACACAATGTCCGCAACTGAACACCTCGATGCAGCCAACTTGGCCGTCTATGCTCTCTTCTCTCTCCCAGTAATCTACTGCCTTGTCGTGCATGGCAAACATGGCCTCGTCGGCTGGGCTTACGTTCTCGCCATGTGTGGTCTGCGTATAGCCGGCAGCGCAATGTCCCTCAACGCTATTCACCACGACAAAGTCAACACAACAGCTGCGATCCTCAACGGCATTGGTCTATCCCCTCTTCTTATGGCTGCCATGGGCCTGCTCCATGAAGCGTATGTATCTTGCTCGAGAATTTTATTTCGCAACTGACCACCTTACAGAAACCACTCCATCCACCGCTTTCTCCCTTCTTTCCTAAACCTCTGGGGATTCCTCATCACACACATGGTTGTCGCAGGCGGAATTGGTCTTGCTGCAGCTAGCAGTGGAAACGAGACACTTCTTCGTGTGGGGATGGTTATCTTTGCGACGGGATGGACCTTGGTGGCTGTTCTGATTTGGTTCTCGTATGGGGTTAATGCCCATTCCCGTCGACTGGGAGAAGAGAGACAGGTTAGTATCTCTCCATTCTTGTATTAAGATCAAGTCACTAACAGTCACAGCTTCTCTCCGCTATCACTGTCGCCATGCCTTTGATCGGTGTTCGCATCATCTACGCCATTGTAACCGCATTCACCAGTTCCAATCTCAAGGGTGGCAGTCTGGCCGTGCGGGTCATCTTCGGTACCATCCCGGAGTACCTCGTCATGCTCATCTATGTGGGAGTTGGTATCGTCACTCGCAACCTGGCACGCAGTCGAGTCGAATACATCCAGCCGAAGAACCAGGCCGAAGTGCCCGTCTGATCCCTCCAACGACTCGTTTACGATCCTTAATCTATATAGACTACCTAGATATAATTTGCCCATCCCATTATCGTAATCATAACACTACCTCATTATTAACATCCACCACCCCCATAACTACCCCCACCGGCCATCTCATTACTTCCCTCCACATCTCCGGCAAAATAGACTCAATCCCACGAACCTCCATCTCCG